AAAAAAAAAAAAAAAAAAAGCTCTTCAGTGTGCACATCTCTTGGGAGCCATTTGTTTTCTTTGGGCCTTTGCGCTGCCAATTCTTTAATGACATGAAAAACAAAAAAAAAAAATATGTGAACAACGATTCACCTCCAAAAAAAATTGGTATAAAAAGCCCATTCACATTCGTCGTCGACGGAGCAGGTTACTGTCTCACATTTTTTTTTAATTTAGAAATAGTTATAATTTTTTTCCTAGTATTTATTAGATAAACAAAGTGTTGAATATTTTATAATTTTTAAATATATTAAATATTTTTTATTTAATGCTTTTATGTAAATGATTAAAAATATTTATAAAAAAAATTATAGGAAAATATAACATTACTCTTTTATTACAGAAGATAATGAGGTTGCGTGAGTCAAAAGAATATATTTGAATTTACGAAAATCCATTGATAACTTGTGTATATTTTTGTTTGTTAATTTCGTAAATTTAATGGAAAGTCTCATCAAAATAAGTTTTATTTATCTTATTTTAGTAAATTTCACAATTAAGCATATAAATAAACTCTTTCTTTTGGTAGATATATGAATAATCTATTATTTAATAAGATTTTATTAACTAAGTAACAAATTAAGTTAATTATCCACGCATGAATAACGATCGTGGATTATATTTTCCATTTTTTCTACCATCTATTATAGGTATTCTTATAAAAATGGGATAATTACATGTTATATTTTGAAATTAATATATGAGTTACAATTATAAGATTCTCGATTAGAAAATTATAATTTCCTTACTTAGTTTAGTATTTTAACTTTCAAGGATATGATTGTGTGCATAATCTGTAAATAAAAATAAGGAATGTGTCCATAATGACAAAGTGACAAGAGAGAACCCAAGGTGGAAGAAGAGAGATGCTGTTAACCCAAGCTCCTTAAGTACATACTGGATCAATACTTTTCTTCACTAATTGGGCTATCTGAACTTCCTTATTGGGCCCAGCACGAGATACCCATTTGTTCATTCTTCTGTATCTTGGCAAATTAGTGGATCCAATTTTAGTGACGTAACGTAACAAGTAAATCCTATATATGTTAGGGATGGACACGCTCAACGTTAATGGTGTATAATTTCACAGAAATGCATCTTCTCAGGTGGAGTTTTATTTCGGTGAAAATTTTTCCAATTAAAATTTTATACTATATTCGTTCATTTTTAATAGTCTTTAAGGTTGCTATATACGTGCAGAAAGACACATCTAAGTGGGATTATTCCGTGCAGAACGCAATATCATACCTTGTTTTTAGACTCTGAATGGAATACAATAGCATATACATTAGAAGCAAAGCTGACGCATGCATTGCCATTGGCCAATCGCAATTCGCAAACACATGATTCAAAGAAAGAAAGATGAATAAAATAGAGAAGACGAGCTTTGGCGAGCACATTAGTTTAGTGCCATAATTTACTATTCCCCCTCCAAAACAAAGTGCCACTCTGATTCCCAACAAAAGAAAATGAGGAGCCACTATTCTTCATACCGTCCACCATCCCATTATTGAACGTTTGATCCTCAAAATCAACATATGATTCACACCTTTGTTACACCGTCCACCCCTTTTACTACCACTTTCTTTCCTATATATATAAATCACCTTTGCCTTCATTACATCACACATAATATTCTCTTCTTTTTTGTCATCTAAACTTAGTGATTGCATCAAATATAGTAAGTACTCACTGATCAACAACAATGGCAACCTACTCAAGCTGTGCTTTGAAAACCACCCCTTCTTCCTTCGTGAAACCTGTCACCACTAAACCAACATCATTCCTCACACCTTCACCTTCTATATCTTTCTCACCCTTCACCTCATCAAACCACTCTCTCACCAAAAATCTTAAACTGAACAATTCTTTGCCACACTTTTGCTTGTCTTCGGTTCCCAAGAAATCGTTTACTTGTAGAAGCCAGGCTGAGCCTGTTGACTCTGGTAACAGACCCAATTTTCAATTTTTAATTTTAATTTTTTTTTAATACTTTTTTGGTTTGGCTGAATGAAAGTTGGTTTGGCTTGATCATGCGTTGACCCTTTGGTTTCTTTGCTTGATTAATTTGTAGATAAAGTCCAAGAACTTAGTGTTTATGAGATCAACGAACGTGACCGTGGAAGCCCTGTTTATCTTCGATTGAGCTATAAAAGTGTCAATTCCCTTGGTGATTTAGTCCCCTTTAGCAACAAGGTGAGTTTCTTACAATTTTCAACAAAATTCAGATTACAATTTATTTCATAAGTATTGTTAGTGTCATTGTCTTGTTAAAACTAAATTTCTACCTCGATTACTTATGTTATTTATTGTGCACATAAGGAAATGTCTCTAAATTTTATTCTTCACCATGTTGCATTTTTTTGTCCTATGAATTTTTTAAAATCAAAGTTAATTAGTAGTCTTTTGTTTTGAATGCATTTACTTTTGTCATGGTAATTTTATTCAACATTATTATCATCTGAAATTGTTACCTTAAATTGAATTACTTATTGTTTTGCATCATGATCAAATCTTAACTTTATTAGCTGCCCGAAGCTATATATATTCTTTGTTGTTATGATTCAAATGATGCAGAAGCAAATGTTGAGTTTTTCATCTAATTGTTGTTATGTAACTAAGTGACTTGTGTTGTGTTTATTGATTTGTTTTTGGACTATCCAGTTGTACACAGGAGATTTGCAAAAGCGCATTGGCATAACATCTGGTATATGCATTTTGATCCAAAACAAAGCTGAAAAGAAAGGTGACAGATATGAAGCCATCTTCAGCTTCTACTTTGGAGACTATGGTCACATAGCTGTTCAGGGACCTTACCTGACATATGAGGACACTTATTTGGCTGTAACTGGTGGTTCTGGCATTTTTGAGGGTGTTAAAGGCCAAGTGAAGCTGCATCAGATTGTGTATCCGTTCAAGATTTTGTACACATTTTATCTAAAGGGTATCAAGGATTTGCCTCAGGAGCTTATTGTCAAGACAGTTGAGCCTATTCCATCTGTTGAACCTTCACCTGCTGCTAAGGCCCTTGAGCCTAATGCTACCATTGCTGGTTTCACTGACTAAGGGATGAACTTTTTTTTTTTTTTTTTTTTTTAATTTTCTAATTTTGTTTTTGTAGTTTGGTTTAAGGTGCTGAATAATAAGTGGGGGGTATGATGGGTTTTGTAGTGGTGGAGTTTCTATTTGATGTAAAGTTTGACATTATTCGGTTAGTGGTGTTAAAAAAAAGTGTAATGTATAATGAAAGGAGGTATGTTTGCCACCTTTTGGCTTGGAATAAATTATTACTGGTTATATACCCTTTAAAAGCTTTATGTACAAAAAATTATTCCATTTTTTTTATCTTTTCTAACTATGGTTGTTTGTATAATATATTTTTAAACATGTAGCTTTTTTCTTTGAAGCATATGGTTGGCTCTTTATGTTATCATCATTATTAACTTTTTAATTTTTAAAGTTTGATTAGTTGTTGTCATATACTTTTTAAATATTAAAAATTTTAGTTATTATGTGAGCATCATTCAAAGATAAAAGGACGAAGAATTTGGTCTCTTACTCCATTTAATAATTTATATTATATATTAAATTTTAATGATTTAACTGTTTAATTAAAAAATTTTAATACATAAATTAAGTTGTAAATTTTTAAAAAATTTTAAAATTATTTAATTCTTTATTTTATTATTTTAAATTAACAGATAATTATACAAATAATTTATATATTAATTTAAATTAATGAAATTGAGTATTAAATAATTTTAAATTTTTAAAATTTGCAGATTTTTTTTTGGGTTCGTATCTGGAGTATCCACCACCGATAGCAGTGACTAATCTCCTCGTTACGTTGGAGGTACCTCAAAGGGTAGGATAGCTGGCCCCAAAATTTAACGCACTTAAGCGTGGATCAACCCCTATCACTAAACCACACGCTTGGGGTTAAAAAAAAAATTTGCAGATTTGATCTATGTATTAAGAATTTTTAATTAAATGATTGAATTGTTAAATTATTACTGATTATACCTTTTAAAAGCTTTATCCAAAAAACATTATTGCATGTTTTTTTTTATCTTTTCTAACTATGGTTGTTTGTATAATATTATTTTTTATATATTTTTAAACATGTGGCTTTTTTCTTTGAAGCATATGGTTGGCTCTTTATGGTATCGTCATTATTAACTTTTTAATTTTTTAAGTTTGATTACTTGTTGTCATTTACTTTTTAAATATTAAAATTTTTAGTTATTATGTGAGCATCATAAAAAAATAAAGAACAAAGGATTTGATTTTTTTATTCTATTATTGTATATCAAATTTTAATATCTAACTATTTAATTAAAAAATTTTAATGTATATATCAAGTCATAAATTTTTAAAAATTTTAAAATTATTCAATTCTCTGTTTTATTATTTTAAATTGATGGATAACCATATAAGTAATTTATACATTGATTTAAATTAATGAAATAAAATATTAAATAAATTTTAATTTTTTAAAAAAATTTACAGATTTAATTTTTACATTAAGATTTTTTAATTAAATAATTAGATCATTAAAATTTGATTAAGTGATTTATACATTGGTTTGTCGGTTGAAGCTGCATTTTCAGGTGACATTACTACGAATTTGATTCTTATATTATATAATTTTATAATGTACCATGAGTATATTATGGTAGCAGTAGTTGGCTTTTAAGTTTTATATTAACCATGATTTCATGAACTTCTTATTTTAATTTTTTTTAATCTAAAGTACATAGTCTGGAAAATGCCTTCAAAACTTTATGCTAGTGCCATGTTCAGATTATGACCACGTTTGTATAATATTTTTTTTTGTACATTTTATAAACACGTGCCGATATGGTAGGATTCTTTTACGTGTATCATCAAGCCCAAGCCCAAACCATGTTGTCCTATTATTTTTATTTATTAAAAATAAGCTACTTTGTGAGCTTGATTTTGAAGAAAAAGAACAAATATTTTGGTGTGGGAATTGTTTTTCTAAATTGTCCTGTTAAACAATTGGGATTGTTGTGATCATTGTGGACTTTAGCCATTGATTTTGTCTACTTATATGATTTAAGCTGCATTTCAGGTGGCTTTAATACGCATTTTGTTATCGTACATTTCTATTTTATAAATTTAAAATGTACCGTGTATATTATGGTAGTAGTAAGTTTTTTTATACAATTATTTTTTGAGGCAATTTTATTTAAGTTGACTAAAATCATTATGAACAATAAGTTTCTTATTTGAGTAATTTTTTTTTCTTCATATTTTATATTAATAATATATAGAAATTAAACTTCTATATATTATTAATATAAAAAAATTACACAGGTAATTATTCTAAAATCATCGTTTTATGTTTTTAAGATGATAATTATAAATTTTAATAAATCCATTATTTATGATATTTTATAATTGGGTAATAGTGTAAAAAATCTGAACTGTTCTTTTAAAAGCAAACATATATATTTTTTTAAAAGACTTTATAGCATTGTATAAGAGTCATGTTCAACCATGTGAAGAATTGTAATAATGAAATATAAAGTTGACTCGTATGTTGCTTAGCGTGTGAAGCTCAAATTATAAATATGTTGTTTTGGGATTGGGCCTGTGCTATGTTTTTTAAGATACTAAACGGGTGGTATAAAAGCCCAGAACTTCATAACCCAATGATGAAGGTAGATAATGAATCTCTTTGTTTCATTCATGTGGCTTGATGATAGGTTTTGTTCGAGTCAAAAAAAATTATTATAATTGATAAAATTCTCATACGAAATTTTTAACACAATAATATACATGAAATAATCTTATACTACTTCATCGTCCTCTGAGGTAGTTCTATTTGAATTAGATAAGATTTTTCTAAGTAAAAAGGTCCTTCTTATGAGTATTTAATATAATTGCATACTTAAAACTGAAATTTGAAACACTAGTTAAATTAAAACAACTCTACAACAGTTGATCTACAAGTTTTGTAGCTGAAAAAGTGATTTATCAAAACAAAATTAATAAATTATTGATATTTAAAACATATCAATGATTGAGATTTATTTATTTTTGTTAATAATTTAAATCCAATTTAATATAAGAAACTATTTTAGAAAGAACTAATTTTTAAGGATTAATTGCTTCTAAATTAAAGTTTAAAATATTTTTTTAGAATGAGTAAAGTTTATAGATTAATTCGGATGAAACTAAAGTTTAAAATTCTATTTGCAAAAGAAATAAAATTGGAGGAGTCAAGTACTTTTAGCCTTTTCTCCTTTCGTACATTTTGTTAATTGGTTGAGAAAATCAACATAGAAAGTTCGTCATCAGCATTGGTAAGTAATTAGTGTTCTTTTTGGTAGTTGAGAGCTGATAATTAGTTTTATTTTATTTTTTTCGGTAACACTTACAGACTTCCCATTGATTGTTAACAATAATTTATTTTATCAAAAGTATAACAATAATTTGTTCCTTGCTATTTTGAAACATCTAACATGTATTTTTTTCTTCTTCTATATTTTGCATTATTTACTGACTAGGAATAATTGTGTGAATGTGTATGCTGATATTATCAAGTAAAATGATTTGATCAGTAGAACAAATTGATTTATTAAGGCGACATCGTAGTACAAGGTTCTAGTACAAGAAGCCAGTACAATGCTAATTAAAATAGTAGTAGTAGTACCAATCAATGAAGCTTGGTGTACTGCATTCATAGCATTTTTCATCAATTAATAAATCATACACTAATCTCAACTAACATAAGGGTTGCAAGATCAGTAACCATTGAGAATCTTCTACTTGGCTGGAGCAAGTTGTGATGGGAATCAATGAGAGTGGTGACATCAATAGAAGAATCCCATTATAATCTTCTTCTAATAAATCTATTACTGTCATTGATTCTCATCACAACATGTTCTAACCTACGAAGATGGACATATAAACATCACAGCATGGTCTAACCTAAGAAGATGGACATATAAACGTTAAATCAGACAATACATTAGATACGTTGAAGTTAAGGATACAGCTGATAACAGGTACTACTTTCACTCTCCTTTCTATATTAAAAGTTTTTGCCTGACTTGGTTCCCAACCCAGCAATGAATTGAACAAACAAACAAAAAAGTGCAAATTCAGCGCCAAAGAGTAAGTTTTGCAAAAAAAATTTCATTTGGTTGAGTAAGAAATTTTTACTGCCACTTTTCTGTTGTGTTTGGAAGGCCAGAGAGAGCTTGTAGGAGTTATTGACAGAACCAGATAATCACAAATGTGTCACTGTTTACTTATGTAATTTGTGGGTGATGTCCTCTGATATAAAAGCCATGTAAGAGTTTTTGTTTTACTTACTAGTTAGAAAAGCATAGATTTGTTATAGAAAATGTTTTATTTTTCTGCTGTTCCCCTGTTTTCATCTGCGATGAACCGGTTTGCTTCTTAAGCAAAATCATGGGCCACTTCAAATTTAAAATCTATGAATTTATTTCTGGTTATTATAATCCTCACAAATTATTCAAATTATTTTAACATTTGTTATGAAATTTGACTCTTCTAATATGAAGAGTGAACCTTAGAAGATGAAACTTACTATTGTTAATTTTAAAAAAATTAATGATTAAGAATTTTGATAAAGTTAAATTCATATACAAATAAAATTTAAAATTAATTTTAATCTCAACACTCGTGAGTAATGTAATATGTTAAAAATGATGGGTGTAATGAGCTCATCGAATAAATTAATTTGTGTTTCTTTACCTACAAAATAAATTGCTAATACTACAATTAAAATTTAATTTATAATCTTATTAACCATCGAACTATCTCATTATATACCATTCCATGGTTGTCTGCTATGAAAGTAAAAAATGATGTAAATGGCAGCTAACACTTTATTTGTTTGAGCAAAAATTGAAAAGAAATAAATATGCGAGGAATGTTTTATATGAGACTCACTATATTTTATTCCACCAAAATCAAAGAAAAATTAGCGGAAAGATACTGTTCGTTATAAAATGACATACTTGACATGTCACATGGTCTTGTTATCATGATGCTCTTTTTAAATTGTAATTATAATTTTTTGTTCTATTCATCCAAAACTTTTTTCTTTTATTTTCTTTATCATCTAATACTTAAAAAATTTATTCCACTTTTACCTTTTTTCATTTAATTTTTATTCTAAAATCAACCACTATGCAAAGGAATTGATGGAAAGGATAAATTTGACTTATTTAAAGTCAATAAAAAAAGTAAGAAATTTTCAAATGAGAGAATCGAATTATTTATTATTCATGAAATAAAGAAATGGATATAAATATATGCAAGCATAGATACAAGAGGTGAATCAACCAATAATTAATCAATTGATTTAACTAATCTTAATTAAGTACGACCAATTAGTTGTTCAATAATCATGATATTTGCATAACCCCTTGCAAGCTAAAGGTTGTGCATTATAAGCAACTTGTATATCTAGAGATAAATTACAAGAGGAAAAAAACATTGAATAAGTTGTAATCACGTCAAAATCACATCATAACTATACAAAGTAACCAATAATACCGATTGAGGCAAAAATAGAAAGGTTGCAGGGAAGATTAAAATTTGAGACCCACCGAAAGAATAGTTGGGCTTCTTAGTCGATATTGGATTTGTTGATGAAAGCAAAACATCATCGCGTCAAGACAAGAAAAACATCTTTCTTTCTTTAAATATTAAATTATTTTTGTTGAATTTGTGATTGGCATGGGTGAGAACTACGAAGATTTTGAAGGAAATTCAATAAAAAGAGAAAAAAAAATACAAATTGAATTTATTTTAAGGTTTTAAGAGGAGAAAAAGAAGGAAATTGGGAGAAATGAAAATGGCAAAAATATAAAGATGTTCAGAAAAATTCAACTCTGACATGATACAAGAGTTCTTGTCATATTTTCAATATAGTATTAGAGCTCTCATAATACTCATCATAACTATTTTTTTTTTCCGATTGAATAAGGTATATAGATCTTTCAATTTTTTTCGTCTCATGCATGAGATTTGAATTTTTCTCAATATATGGAGGGTTTTTGTCATATTTTTTCTTACTATATAGAGACTTCTTGCCATATTGTAAAAAATTTAAGTTTTTACATCAATTAGAAATTAAAAAATATATATAAGTAAGATATAACATACTTTAAAAATTGGTTTTATAGAGTTGAACATCTGAATTTACATTCTAAAATGGTGTCATCTTAAATCCTTTAAAATGGTAACTCACTGCTTATAAAAACACCAAGGTGTTTTGCTTTACTTTAAAATTTCTGTTCCATTTTTTTTCTATGAATATACGTATTCCATGTTATTTGTTGATTCTCATATTAAATTATTTTATTATAGTTGAATTGATATTAAATAATAATTAAAATATTATTTATTTATAATTAATTGACAATTATATATTAATCATAATTGTTGTAGAATTTTAGTAGACAAGTTTTATGATAAAAATGCCCCTATAATGGGTTGTGTCATTTATTTATTAGCCTCTTGAGATGTCCTTACTTATTACTAAGGAATTATATTTTGGCCATCTCATTAAGCTAATATATGCACATTGACACATAACTCCTTTTTTCTTAAAGGTGATTCTAATAGATTCATGTCAGTAATATAATATTTCCAATTATGTTTTGTCATATAAGCATGTTATAATTTGTATCTATAACTATTATAAATGATTTGTTGTATTATTTTCTATCAATTTCAGAGCCTAATTTTGACAATGAATTTACCTTTGATACAATCAACATATATAGGTATCAAATTCAGAGAAGTCAAAATCATTAAAAATTCCTTCCTTAATAAGTCTCTCAATTCTAAGCTTAAAGATGTGCCCTAAATGTTTATGCCATAACATAGAAGAAGTCTTATCAATTTAGTTGCGCTTACTTCCAACAATAAAGTTAACAATATTTAATTCATATTTAACATATAAAGTCTATCACACAAAACTCCTAAACCAACAACAATTGAATTAAAAGTAATCACTAGTTACCAACACTGAACACAAAAATGTAACCACATTTGTCTAAAGTCGAAACAAAAATCAAATTCCTTCTTATGGAAGGCATATAAACAACATCCCTTAATAATAAAGTGTGTCCAAAAGGCAAACATAATGCAACAACTCCTATGTCCACAACAATTACTCTAGCTCCATCTCTCATAATGATCTTGGACTCAATATCACTTGGTTTCCTTAGACTTGTGAACCCCTTGCCTTTCATTTTTCTTTTTCAAAATATAGCATTCATTCATCTTACGGCCATATTTGTTGCAATACTTCAGTTACCCTTAAAGAATTTCTTTTTAGGCTCCAAATGTTATTCTCCCTTTCATGCTTTATTTTTGTCATAATGAGACTTCTATTCGTGATTGTATTCTTTGACATTCTTGGAGCTTGAAGTAGAAGCTACAAACTAATATTGTGGGACTTAGTCTTCTTCATTGATTCCTCCTCTTGAGTAATACGATTGTTAACTCTGTTGTCGGAAGTAAGCACAACCCAATTGATGAGACTTATTCTATGTTATGACATAGACATTTAGGGCACATCTCTAGATCTCAAATTGATAGATTTATCAAGGAAGGAATCCTTCATGATCTTGACTTCTTTGACTTTGATACTTGTGTGGGTTGTATCAAAGGTAAAATCATCGCCAAAACCAATAATTAAGGAGTGAACAAGAGTAATGATGTACTATAGTTGATTCACACGGCTATGGGTGGATATAGGTATTTCATTAGCAAAATTCCATGAATGCAATAAGAAAAAAACAATTCAGACATAGAGAAAGCTTACCAAGTTTACATTGTAAGTAATAATATCAATCACTTTTCTCTGCATGGAATACCTTAAGGAAATATATAAATATTTTCATTAATTTACTTCTTGATTTTTGGAATTTATATGACCATGTTTCATAATTTTATAAAATATATAAATATTTTCATTAATTTAGTTCTTTTAAAAGACTCTGAAATTATTTAAAATACTGAAATTAAACTTCATATTATTCCATTTATGAGCAGATAAATATTTAAATATTATCTATAACTAATTATGATATTATTGAAAAAAAAACGTGAATCAACTTATATGAACTTTTTTTTTAACTAAATCAATAATGTTGTCCAAGTTTTAAATATATAATCCTGTTAAATATTTAAAATTTTGCTGACTGTAATGAATTTGCTTCACTCCAAGTAGTATTGCTTTGCACTAAAGGTATTTTTGATTTCCAACATAGAAACCTAGTTACGATAAACCTAGATAATTTGTTAGAATGATGTTCTATGTATGTGCATTAATATTTGATATTCACCTTACAGTGGGATTTACAAGTTTTAACATTAATAAAAAGTATAAAAATTCACAATAAAAGAAAGAATAAGTTACACTTTTTTTAATAGAATTTAATGTTTATGTACTAACAATATATGTATTATCTATTTTCTTTAATCAGGATAAAAAAAATTCCTTCTAATCACATGCAATTCTCTAGGAACATATGCAAATGATTAACCATCTCTGATCTAAGTCATCTAACCTTCGTAGCCCTGACCACTTGTTTGAGTTATTTTGGAAATATGTACATGGCTATTAGGGATATGTACAAGTACAACTAACGGGCTCTTCTTGGACGTGTTCATCAAGTTATCAATGATATAATTTGACGTCATTCAACAAATATATCACGACAAAGAAAAAACACAACCAGACGATTATGTTGTCTCTCATTCATTGTAATGTTTCAAACATTCAAAGTTCTGCTTCAATTTGATTTGTTAAGTTGATTTATTTGTTTATTTATTCATTTATTCATTGCTGAATCTCTGAGTGGCCTTGTCCACTGTGCCACGCCCTTCATGTTGAAACATTGAATTGAGGTTTCATATATGGTTCTTTAATTTGAAGACACAATAACTCAATAGTTTCATGGAAAGCTTCAGTGCTCAATATATAGCTAATTCTACTAATGCTGTTGTGATTATGTGTGAGACTGCCACGATCATGGGACTAGTTACAACAGATGAAGACAACATAAGGTCTATCAAAGTAACCTTCAAGACTATGAGTATGTTGCTTCTCGTTAACTAGTTTGATTCCCCTATATATTTGTGGACATTATCTGAAGTGCAAAACATATACTATAGTCAGTGATCTTGAATGGCCTAGCTAGTTGTTTAATTTCGCAAAGCAATCCTTGGTCATTATGAATTAGGATTGGGTATAAAAATGTTGTTACATTGTTTGGGCATTAAGATGTGGGTAGTAGTTTCTGTGGGGACAAAATATTTATTTATCTGGTAGAAAAGGTTTAGAAAAAAAAAATGGACCCCAGAGGTGGGGGGGTAACAGAACCTCTCTCTTTCTTGATACCAACCTTGCATACACATGAGACAAAATTGAGGGCTATGATGAGGTGCGGTGTGGGACCCTCTCACTCATTGTCACAGGATGAAGACATGCACATGCTGAACCACAAAGACATTCTCACTCACACCACACTGCAATCTGCATACCCTGACACCCACTCTTTTGATCTCCACATCCAGCCTACATTGAAAACAACCCAACAGTGCAAACTCATGATCTCATTCTCAACTTGGAAAACCATATCCCCCACTCATAATCCCCCCTATTCGCCTCTCACTAGGTTTAAAACTAGCTCAAATTTGGAGATGTCATAGGAGGAGGGAAACTTCATTCACTCCATTCTAGTACTACTACTCTTTCAAATTTTAAATACAACATATATATGCTACTCATCCAGTGCTCACAGATGCAAAATTTAAAAAACCTATAGCTTTACATTTCCTAGTTTTTATTAAAATTCAAAACCTGTGCCCCAAATTTATCTCTTCAATTATGCATTCTCTCTCTTTGATTTAGAAGCTTCTCTATAAAAAAATAATTTAGTTAGTGTAATGATTAGACACTATACTCATAAATTATGGAGATAATCTATTATATAACGGAGAATCTTGTGATTGATTATCGTCGTGTGTAAAAACGTTTTAAACTAGTGACTGTTACATTACTGTGAGCAGGATTAGTTTCTGGTAAACTTACATAATGCTTTCCCTCTTTTTTTTTTTTTTTTTTTTTTTTTTTTTTTTGTTTTCTTTTATTGAAAAAGCATGTAATTTAACTGATTGCAGCTCAATGGAGTTTCCTGAATTGGGTTGGGTATCAGGATAAAAATTTGATGTTTTATCAAACAGAAATCATGATTTGCTGAGCCTGGTGTACATCAGTATCAGTCTGAATGCATGATAGTGCTGATTTTTTTAATTTGTGAAAAACTACAAGCCTTCATCACTCATCAGTGTCAGTCTCTCCCAATCGAATTTCCATAATTACAATCGATGTTGGCCTACTAATTTTATGGTCATTCTTTTTTTCTTGGGAACAATGTATTGTCATTTTTTATTCATGTACCCGACCAATTGTAACCAAGGAGTTGTCGTAACGAGTTTAACATGTCTTATTTAAATCCTCGCCAAAAGAAAAAAAAAAATGTTGTGTGTAAATCCTCACCTACCCTAATAATTCATGTTATCAACCTCATCCTCGTGTGATTGTAACCAAATATGTTGACTATGAGCAAATAATCAATTTCAAGCATCCAACCCTATTAAGAGTGGAAATTATTATAATGAATTGAAAATTCCTTCTATATTATACCTACTTTGACTACTTAAATTAAATATAATGTGATTATCATTAAAGGTGGATTCGATGTAGACTAAAGGAAGCTCTGCTCTGACCACTCCCTCGTGTCAACATACTGGTATATGAAAACTTTAATCTAAATCACATTTGGCTCGCATAAATAGAAGAAGGTTTCATGTATGATGTACCTTTATTCCTTGAATTATATTACAATTAATATATTTGAGTTATGAGTTGCAATAAATCCGTTGTCGTCCAGCGGTTAGGATATCTGGCTTTCACCCAGGAGACCCGGGTTCGATTCCCGGCAACGGAATATACCTTTTGATAAATATTTATTCATTTTGCAATTAGCGTTTACACATCCATTCGGTATTGTCTTAATTTAGTAACTTTGCATATTTGTGAATATGACATATAATTTGGTGATGCAACACTTAATTACTGATACGAAAATGATATGCACAATCCACATCAACGTAATGAAGGCCACGTCTATATCCATTTGATATGGGGGAATTAAATTTAAGGATAACTTGTCTGGTTTTAGTCTATTTTAGTTCAAATTACTCTTTTAATCTGGTTTCTCAATCTCTTGAAAATGCTTCCCTCTTCGATGACGTGAATCCCTTTCACTTCCTCCGTTTTACCCTTTCTTAGTAAATCTAAATGGTACATGTATGGTGATTTTGCTTATTTAGTCTTCAGATCTAGCACTTGTTGTGGCATATTTAAAAGGATGGATTAGTTGTTAACTTGTTATGAATATCCTCATCATTGTTACATCTTTTTTGTTCTTTTTCTTTCTTTGGTCCAAATAATTCCTTCCTTCATGAGTTCAGATTTTGATATTTCAAGTAGCTATTGAGAGAATCTCCTTAGAAAATATTATGATGCAAGGACATGGAACAAATCCATTATTTCGTTTTGTTTTCCGCAATGTGAATAAAATGAAAATTCACCTTGAAATGGCTAACAAATGAGAAATTCATTCCTTTTTATTATAAGGCTAAAAATTTGTCTCTATGTGACATTGTGTGCTGGATGGATTGTGATACCAACGACAATTTGGCCTGAATTACAGCATCCTAATTTTATGGAACTAGAAAAGAAAAAATTCACAAAATTTCCATTTTGTCTTTCTTCAGCAAATAACCACAAAAATAAAATAGGGACTAATAGTTAGTGTCCCATGATTCACTTGAAGATTAAAACTCACCTACTGGTCTAGGACATTAGGGGTCAAAGAAAAAGAAAAGTTACTGAAGCAGTCCAATGAATTTAATGCAGGGGCCAAAAAAAGAAACAAGATACATGTAATATAGAATGATATTTGAGACATATGGTTGCACCAGGGAGATTCAAAAGGCAAAAGAGCAAAATTTAGTAGAGACAACACTCCTCGCAGAACTACATAGGCATGCCTTATGCCTAGTCTTTGAACTGATACCAAAGGCAGCACATTCCACCTACCTATACCTTACCTAGACAAAAAGCTTCTACTTCAGAACACTCCTTTTTTGTCATGTCTGCACCTGCAGCACCCACTTTCAAACCTGTGCAAGTTTGAGTTGGAGTGAGAGTGACTTGAACATTTACAGCAACATTCCACTTCTGCTGAAGTTGTTTCCCAACTCATTCATGGCCTCAACAGCTGAACCACTTCCTTATACCTCAAGAACAAGAGATGAGTCAGAGTTCAATTTGAGAGAATGGGCAGTGAAAGCTGGAATCAGCCGTGAGAACACCAACTCAAGAAGGTACTCAGGATCTTATATGAGAAGCTTCAGAGAAGACACAAGGTCATTCAGATCAAACATAGCCATTTCCAGCACGGCTTCTTCACCTGGATACCCCTTAAAAGGCACTTCTCTTTTTCACTCCAATTCAAAGAGTTCATGGTTTTTTAAGTCTTAGCCTCATTTTCACCTCAAATTCTCTCATTTGTTGCAGATGAAATAGACCCTTCAACATATTCTTTTACTACTGCTCTTAAAGGTACAACTACAAGTGAATAATGAAGTACAATGATAAGGTTTATGATTTTCTATTTTTTGTTCGTTCTAGCTCATGTTTTTTGAATCAATTGAGTGGTGGTGGTGAATTGCAGCATTGCAAGCAAGGGCAGGTTATAACAGTTGGGAATGCTTATCTCCAGATGGTTTTGCTCTAAATTCCAAGTGGAATGAAGCAGAAAGGTATATATGCAACCCTCTCTCGGGGGAGGTACCATTGGAGTGTTTATCAGCAAAAACTCTTAGTGGAAGATCATTTAGAAACTCTATAAACAGAATTGCCATGTCTGCTCCTTTAGTTTATTCCTCAAAACACATTCCAACAAAGCTAGCAACTTGCTCACAAGAAGATGTGGCTCTTCAATTTCCCAGTCAAGGTTCACACACTTAATTAGCCATGTTTCTTCTTTGTTTCCTTTTTACTTGCAAGGACAGTTCAAGTTACTTCCCAATTCAACTTTGCCTCACTGTGCAGAAAAGAAGAAAGAGGGTATGACAAGAGATGTGGGTGTTCAAAGCACACCTCCTTATCTTAGCTCAAGCAGTCCAAGCCCTGCTTCTACTCCATCCATCATAGAGAGATCGAAAACTAGACCTTCTGACTCACCTAATTCATATGCAAAAACCAAATCTGAGGAAGAGGTATGTGCTGCTACATTTTTCATGTATATTACTTTAATGAGTTTATCACAATTTCAGAATATTATACACATTCTAATTAAGACCTCAAACACTTTAGATTCAATTCATATTTCCCTTTTTTTTGGTCCTCAGAGTCAGTTGTGAATGCCATTAACTGAAGAGAAAAACATTAGGACACAGAAATTGCCAGTGTTTTAAAATGCCTTTTATTGTTCTTAATTTGTTATTTCCCTTGTTTGACAAAATATAAATATTAAAATTATATTATAATATTAATAGTATAAAGAGTTCTTATAATATCATCCAATCACAAACCTTATACGTAGTAACCAGTAATTATGTTGACTTTTAAAAGTCGTACTAATAAAATTTCTGATTAGTTGATAGTAAAAAGATTTACACCGATAATACATATAAATTGACTATCTAAGGAAGTATTTCCAAAAATCAGATACAAAAGTCAGGTTGATTTCAATTTTCAAAATTATTCAAAACAAACAAAAGAAAAGAAAGAGAACAATATAGTGCGGTTTCCAAGATTAAAGAATCAAATCTGTTGTCTAGATTATAACCTTCTAATGTGGGGCAGTGAGAGATATATCGTCCCTCTGTATTTCATGTATTTGTGTCTCTCATTTTTGGCCCCTACATACTTTCCCTCTAGTTGGCTGCTTTCTACTACACATACAGTTGCACTTGTCTGTGATTTTTGGAAATCATTTTTCCGATCATGAGATGCAAGTGCCAAATTTTGCATAATTCTTCAATCCAACGTAGTTCTCCTTCTTGAATGATTATTCAAACATGGCAGTGTGGTTCTTTTTGAACCTATATAGCTCTTCCCTTTGTCTCATGTGAAGCCACTGAAGATTCTGTAATCCAAGTACATTAGTTTATCATCATGGGTACTTCAACAAAATGTCTAGACTCACTGTCATGCTACGTACTATTCCTTCATTAAGATTACATACAAAGGAATAGAGTAGGCTAAATTATATACATAGCAATATTAACATCATAGAATAGTCACATTAAGGAAATATGGCACAGAAAACACTAACCGGTATATATTTCAATTAAGGATAATGAAGGTTCATTGAACAGTTTGTACTAACTGCCAAGTGTGCTACATTTCAGTAGTTCTCCAAGTGTCACGTTACATGGTCAACAAAGTTGTTAGAGATTGAATTATTTCATACGTATGGTGATTTGGAATACAAAAGGAGTAGGAATTAGGGAATAAAGGCTTATTGTTTATCAAGTAATCATAAATAAACTTCTGTCTTATTCAAATGGAACATCTTTGCTTCAGTTTAAATTTATATGAAATTTGTAATCCATAAGTTGGCCTACCTCTTTCTTTGTCAGAAGAAAATGTAGGTTCTCAACATCCAAACAAAATTGGCATATTAGGTAGAAACATTTAGCAGGTGCATTAAATAAAAAATATTTTCATTTTACAACACTTCAATTTAACCCTGGAAAAAATGATATTAAGATAGGATTAATTTATATCTAAGAATAATTGTTCGGTATAGATAAATCAAATTGTTGAGTTCTTGCCGACGGTTGATTTTGTTTGATTTAGTAATGTTATGCATCTGGCTTGGCTAATTGGTTTATTATATAGTATTTGGTTGCACCAATTCAATTCCGTTCCTACATCGTATGCAAATATCAACATATAAAACTAATAAACATAGCGCTGCTTACGGGGACTATAATTATATATATTAGGGTGTAGGG